TCTTCTTCCTTACCTTTGGGAGATGATGAACGCGATTACATATCTGGACCCCGAATCTTTCGGCATTTAAGTTCTATATATGCTCCATGTGTTAACACAGAAATTTCGAAAGATGTACTTTTGAACCCAACATTCAACATATACTGAGCATGGTCATTTAATGTGGAAGTATATTTACTAAAGAAAATAAACAGGTCTTATCCAAGAAAACAGGATACGTATGCGAACTGCTCAATACTGATAACTGATCGTCAGACTTGAACTTTTTACTATGGCTATATAAACCCTTTAAGAGTGTATACTGTCTTTGGATTAATAATATAGAGTAGTCACATGCGCAAGGTAAAAGGAATTACCAGGCATCGATAAAGGATTAGTTGTCTCCTTAGAAGCCCAAAACTACCTTCATGCCAATTCTTACAAAAAATTAACACATTTCTGTAAAATGTATATTTAACTATTTACGGAAATATGAATTATTTAAAAAAGTCTCGAAAATCTGCACATATTGTGTTGGCTTATGAAAAAACATATAGTCAGACTGTTTTTTCAAAGTTGTTTAAGGTTTGCGCCATCACAATCCATGAATGCTTGATTTGAGGGGCAATCCACTGTGGATGTTTTATTTGTGTACTAGAGTAAAATAGTCCTCCATTTGGTCAGTTGAACTTCCCGAGCCTTTTGACCGGTGGTGTCGTTTCTGATTTTGGCTAGGAACAATTATACGGCCCCTACGATTGCCGCTGCGTGGCCAATCCACAGAAGGTTCAGAATCACTGCAGCTGCTTCTGCTGCTGCTGCTGCTGCTTGAGCTGCTACCGATAAAGGCACCAAGGCCCACCTCCTCTCTTCTCTTCGGCTGGAACCCATTGTACTTGGAGCCGTGCTTTCCCCTTCCAGGTGACCGCGAACGTCTGCCACTTCTTCCACGTCCAGAATTCTGGCTTCTGCGTCGTGATGGAACTCTTTCAGGGGAGGAGCTGCTGCTGCTACTGCTGCTGCTGCTACTGCTGCTGCTGCTACTGCTGCTGCTGCTGCTGCTACTGCTGCTGCTGCTGCTGCTGCTAGTGCTGACATTTCTATCTCTCCTACCGCGGCCAGCCAATTCTGTATCCGATGAGTAGTAATACATTTTACCACGCTCAGACTTCACCAGCCCCTTACCTGGAACATATTTGAATACACGCACTGGCGTCAGGTGTGGCTTGTTCGATTTCATATATGGCGGTTCTTGAGACCGACTTCTCTCCGTCCGTCCACTGAAAACAGGATCGGATGTATTTGTAAAGTAGCTAGTTTCGTAGTATGCGTTGCTTGGTGGCTTGTTGGATGGAAGGGTAAGACTCTG